AGGGGGGGAGGTATGATCGGGATGAGGTGAGGGGTGGGAGTCACATTCACTGCCTGCCTTAGAGTAGCTTTTTTACAGATCCCTTCCCTTTACCTACCATATTCAGTTAGTCATTAAGTCCTGTTAATTTCTCACAGAATTGGAGAATGGGAAAGGTCCCCAGTGGCCATTTAGTCCAGTCCACTATAATATGCTGGACAGGGATCCTTCAGGCTCCACTTGAAGACCTCCAAGGAGAAGAATAACCCATGCCACGTTCGAACAGCTCTACTTGTTAAGTTTTCTTGAAACCATTCCAAGGAGCCATGGTGAAAAATGCTATCTGTCTCCAGAGATAACTGATGAACTCTGATTGCAGGTTGAAGCATATTTTTTTCATTGTCTTTATTATTTTTTACCTTTCCCCCCCCCCCAACAGGGCTAATATGGAAATGTTTTACATGACTTCGAAATGTATAATTGATATCATACTGCTTGACTTCTCAATGGGGAAGGAAAGGATGAGAAGGAAGGAGAGGATTCGGAACTCAAATTTTAAAAAAATGAATATCAAAAATAAGTTATTTTTAAAAATACCCACGAGGAAAAAAAGAAAAATGCCTTCTCTTGCCCTCTCTGGCCCTCAACTGGTCCCCCTCTTCTGAATTCCTATTGTTAACAATCATTTAATTATCTATTATTGACACGTTCTTTCAGCACTTTTATGTGCTGTAATATAGTCTCCTTGTAAACTGAGGCCATGTTTTATGCCACACAGCACAGGAATACGTATGAGGCTGGTGCTGGCAAAGTAAATGATTGCTTTAAAAAGCAAAATGCTATGGAAAAGATAAAAGGATTTGAAGGTGGAAGCCATGAAAAAAAAAAAGGAAAGGCTAAAATAAATGGTCCTTGAAGTGCTGATCCTGAAGCTCAAGCCCTGAGTTCAAATCCAGCCTCAGACACTCACCAGCTGTGTGACCTCGAATAAGTCCCTTATCCTCCGTCTGCCTTATGGAGATAATAAATAAAATATTTATTTTATTAATAAAATGGAGATAACAGTAGCACCAGCTCCCCAGGACTGTTCTGAGGATCAAATGAAATAATATTTGTGAAGTGCTTAGCTCAAAGTAGGTGCTTAATAAATGTTTATTTCTCTTCTCCTAATCTGTGGATAGAGTGCTGGGCCTGGAGTCAGAAAGACCTGAGTTCAAATCTGTCTTCAGACACTTACTAGCTGTGCGACCCTGCATAAGTCCCTTGATCCTACTTGCTTCAGTTTCCTCGTCTGTAAAATGAGCTGGAAGGAAATGGCAAGCCACTCCAACATCTTTGCCAAGAAAACCCTAAATGGGCTCACAAAGAGTTGGACATGACTGAAACGACTCAAGAACCAAAAAAATCTGGAGGAGTGTATCATTCAAATTACATTAATTGAGGAAAGCATAAGGTCAGCAACATCTGAATAAATGAGAATTGTATAGAATTCTATTTGTTCTTAATTCAATTCGGTGCAATGATGCCTATAGCCAACATTAGGCAAGATAACGTGCTAGCCGTTGGGGTTACAAAGACAAAAACAATCCTCGTTCTCAAAGAGCTCATGTTTTTATGGGAGAGGAGAGAATATGCATGAACATATATAAGCATAGCACAATGTAGGGAATGAAGGGGATGCAATGTTCCCAGAATATTGGAGGAGGCAGAGAAAATTTTCAACTGTAGGGATTAGCCAAGGCTATGTAGAGAGGGCAGAACTTGATCTGCACCTTGGAGAAAGATAAAGATTCTGGGGAGTTCATTTCAGGCATGGGGATTGCTCCAGCTAATGCAGAGAAGCTGAAGATGGTTTGTTGACTCCATCCTAATTCTCTGCAATCCACTGTGAACTGCTAGGAACAAGCCCTAAGATAATGTGAGGATTGGCAATTAGGAATATATAGAGCATGGAAAATGTCTGTACTAATGCTGTAACCACTGGACCATTTAGGAAAAGATATTGCTCAGCATTTCACCAAGTATAAAAAGTACAGACGAGTTTTTATGAAGAGGATGTTGACCAGATTTTTTCCCCCTATTGACTGAGGGCTAAATAAAAGGAATCGTCTCACATTAATCTAGAAGATACTTGGGGTAGAAATAAGGAAGGATTTCTTTACTGCAAGGAGAACTAAGATTTCTTGATGGGAATGCATAACAGAGGAAGTCAGAGAGTCTCCATTCTTAGAATTCTTGAAGAAGAGAATAAACAATGATCAGTTCTGGTCCACTGGTTCCCAGTCTCAGGTTTTGATCTACACATAGCTGCAGAGGATCACAGGCTTCCAAAGACTCTTCAAAAAAAGCTGGGTTCTCCCCAATGATGACACATCCAAAAAGATCAGAGAAAGAGGAAAAGGACCCTGCTGTACAAAAATATTTACAGCAGCATACAATATTTTTATGGTGGCAAAGAAATGGAAAACTAAGGGAGTACTTGTCAACTGGAGAATGGCTGAACCAATTATGCCATATGAATGGAATGAAATATCATTTTGCTGTAAGAAACGATGAAAAGAAATGGTCTCAGAGAAACCTTAGAAGATTTGTAGGAACTGATGCAGAGTGAAGTGAGCAGATCCAGAACAATTTATACAGGAACAACACTGTAAAGACAAGCAATTTTGAAGGACTTAATAACTCTAATCAAAGCAATGACCTACCACAATTCCAGAGGACCGATGATGAAGCATGCTACTCACTCCCTGATAATCAGAGAAGTGTTGGATTCAAGGTGAAGACCGAGAGATATTTTCTGGACCTGGCCAATAGGCAAATCTGTTTTTCTTGACTAAAGGCAAGTAGGGGGAATAGTGAATACAGCTCTAGACCGAGAGTCAAGAAGACCTGAGTTCAAATCTGGCCTCAGACACTTACTAGTTGTGTGATCCTGAGCAAGTCACTTAACCTAGGTGGCTCAATTTCCTCATCTACAAAATGAGGATGATAACAGCATTACCTCTCAGGGTGACTGTGAAGATCAAATGAAATGACATTTGTAAAGGGCTTAACACATAATAGGTGCTTATCAAATTCTTGTTTCCTTTCTTCTTAAGTGTATTTGTTATGAGGGTTTATTTTATTTTTTCTTTTTCAATGGGTGAAGGGGAAGTGTGGATGGGAGAGAAAGTAGGTCTTTGTTAACTGAAAAAACAATTTTTTTAAAGAAATTAGCACCAAATAAAGACAGTGACTAGGGTAAGTGAAACAAAATTAAAGTTACCTTATAAGATAACAAAACAAGTTGCCAAAAAAGAGCAAAAGAAAGCCTTCCAACCTCACTACTTCATCTTCAGTAATTTAGGGTGTGGAACCTTGGCCAACAATGCCAAAGGAGAAGTTGTTGATTTGGTCAGAGATGGAATGTCGATGACATAATCACACTACATGTGGAAAGACACCAAGAAGTTGAATGGGCTTCCACCCTCATGGAATGTCTCCTTCCCAGGGTCCCCAATCCCCCTTCAGCAGACCTCTGTGGTAATGAGCCACACTTGGTGGTCAGTGCTGGAGGCAATACACTGGAGTCAGATAATACATGCATAACATCAAATTGTGTTTATGGGAGTGTAGGAGAGGAAGGACAAAAGACTCTTCTCCTGGGAAGGAGAAGATAAAGGAAGGTTGTAGGACTGTCAATCTTCTCTCCTCAAAGGTGCCATATCTTGCCAATCATTCTTTCTCTTCTTTCTTACCCATCTACTATCCTTAAACAATTTTTGGGGAGGCAATTGGGGTTAAGTGACTTGCCCAGGGTCACACAGCTAATAACAGACACTTGTCTGAAGCCAGATTTGAACTCAGGTCCCTCTGACTCCAAGGCCAGTGCTCTATCCACTGCACCACCTAGCTGCCCCCTCATGTACTACCAAAAACACCAAAAGGGTATAGGTGAAAGTAGAGCACACAAAAGATGCCAAAGGAAAAGTGCTGGAGGGAGAATGAAGGGTGGGGAGTGATCCCTACTATTACCTCCAGACCAGCTCGAGAACCCTGCTTAAGAAAAGTATATCTGTGCTATGTAGCCGATAGCAGAAACACAAAGATATCTCTCAGTTTGCTCCACGACCTCCCCTCTACAGCCCCATATTGCTCACCTGTACTAACCATCGTCGGGTGAGGCTTCCCACTTTCTTTACTGCTTTCTGGTTTCCTAGGGAATCAACGTGTCTAAAGCCTACTTCCTTCATCTCCTATGTCTTTCTAATCCACACCACCTGTGGGAGGTACCAAGTTTGGAGGGACAGAGGAGTCTCTCCACAGGTTGCCATTAACACTTATCCCCTTCCTGGATCCCCGCTTGGATTCCTCACACAATGCTTCAAAGACCAGGAGACTGAAGATACTGACAGAAGCAGAAGATTGTAGGAACCAGGCAACATGTTATAATTAACAGGGTCTTGTGGACTGCAAGACCTGGGTTCTAATTCTGACTCTGATCGTAAATAGCTGTATGACCCTAGACAAGTCCCCTAATCTCTGAGTTTCAGTTTCCTTAGATGGAAAAGAGGGATAATTATCCTTTCATGACTTACCTCAAAGGGTTGTATTGAGGAAAAGCTCTACATATGAGTTGTAAGTATCAAAAGGCCATACAAAGGTCATTTTTCTTAATCTCACTTTTTGGGAAGAGAAATAATTTATTGCAAGGGAATAAAATTCACTTAAATGACAGCTTAGGCTATCTTTGGCCCTTCCAGGAAAAGAGGGAGTGGAGCTATTTTAATGGGAAAGGAAATCAGTTTTTCTGTATATATCATAATTCTTCACAACTTGGACAAGAAGGAAGAGAAATGTACTTGAGTTTGGCATTCATCTGCCTGACCTGCCTCACTTCTCTTCCCCCTCACTCTCAGTAAGGGGACAACATGCTGAGATGGTTCCCCAGTTCCCCAGGGGCTTGGAGCTGACCCACACAACACCCTCCTCAATCCAACAACCTGACGCACCAACCCGACGCACCCTGGAATCCAATTTACCAATGTCAGAAAGCAGAGTGAGGACGGCTTCTTCCCGAAGGCCACAGCAGTTCTCAAACTGGTTCAGGTACTGTCAGGGTTTGAAAGGGAAAAAAAAGCATCAGACTCTATCAGCCTTTTACAGGTAGCAGCAAATTACCTGAAAGCTCGCAAAAGCTTTGCATCAGGCTCCACCCCTGTGCAGGATGAACAGTCTTGACTCCAAAGGCTCAACACACTGGCTATAGTCATCGACTCCCTAGGGCACTGTTGCTTTCTTAGGAAGTGGGCTGTCTCCAAATATAACCTCCCGTGCTCTTTGGTAACAGCTCCACGGATAGCAGCACAGTAGAGTGGAAAGGACACTGGACATGGATGAGAATCCTGTTTCTCTACTCATCTGTGTAACTTTGGACAGGTTACTTAAGTTCCTAGCCTTCCGCTTCCTCAATTATAAAATAAGAGAGTTGGATTAGATGGCCTCAAAGACTCCTTCCATCTCTTAATCAATAAGCCTGTAAAATCCTTCTTCCTGCCCTTTTCAGGGCTGCTCTTGGTATTTATTTCAATTTGACTTTAAATCTGGATAAAGTCTTTAATTTAAGGAGCAGAATACAAACCTCCCAGATTTCACATATCCCCAGGAATGGCCCATCTTTGGTCTACACTCTTCTACACAAGAGCTTATCGCTATATCTTCCATCAAAAGAGGATACATTTCGGAGATTGAGTACCATTCCCCACCCTACCGCCAGCACATTCTAGGGTGGAGGTAAATGAAAACAAAGCCATCCTTAACCAGCTCAACCCCTAAATGGCTATAAGTCTGGATGTGGAGGAAGAGGATAACCATTTCTATAACACCTGATATGTGCCAGGCACTGTACTAACTAAGCTCTTTACAATTATTATCTCGTTGGACTTGCATAACCACCCTGGGGGGTAGGTGCTATTGTTTCCCCCATTTATGGATGATGAAACTGAAGCAAACAAAGGTTAAGTGACTTGTCCAGGGTCACACAGCTAATAAATATCTGAAGTTGAACCTGAACTCAGATCTTCCTAACTCCAGGCCCAGGCTTCTACCCATTGCATCACCAATAGCACTGGATTTGGAACTTCTAAATACGACAGTTTATTGGCAGAGAGAGGTAGTGTAGTATAGTGAATAGAACACTGGATAAGGACTCAGAAAGATCTGGGTTCAAAACCTGCCTCAAGATACTAGCCATGTGGCCCTCCGCCAATCACTGAATTTCTCTGAACCTCATTTTCCTCATTTGTAAAATCAAGACAATAAGAAGATCCACTTCACAGGGTAGCTGTGAGGAACAAATGAGATAATTATGTAAAGGGCTTGCAAATCATAAAGTGATATATTCTACAATGTCATTTTTCAGTCATGTCTGCCTCTTTGTGACCCCATTTGCGGTATTCTGGGCAAAGATACTGCAGTGGTTTTCCATTTCCTTCTCCAGCTCATTTTACAGATGAGGAAACTGAGCCATCAGGGTAAAGTGACTTTCCTAGGGTCACACAGCTAGGAAGTGTCAGAGGATGGATTTGAACTCAAGAAGATGAGTCTTCCAGACTCCTGGCCAGGAACTCTATCCACTGCACCACTTAGGGCTTCCTTCAAGTCCAGATAAAAATCCACCTTCTGCAAGAAGCCTTTCCCCATCCCTCTTACTTCTAGGGCCCTCTGTATGTAAAGCTCTAATTTAGCTTGTTTATACATAGCTGAGCGCTTGTCATCTCCCCCTATTAAACAGTGAGCTCCTTGAGGGCAAGGAAGGTCTTTTGCCTCTCTTTGTCTCCCCAGCACTTGGGGATATCTGTGCCTGGCACACAGTAAGCTCTTAGTAAATGCTTTCTGACTGTCAAAATCTCCACCTCTGCCACATTCTGCCTATGTGATTCTGGGCACATCCACAGGCCTGGGGTCAGCAAACAACAGACAACTGCCCAGGACTGTACAAAGACAGGCCTGATTTGGCTGGGGACTCCTGCTCCAGGAATGTCTTTAAAACTAGTTTAAACTATTTCAAAGACTGTGTCAGTCTGAATTGGAAAAGGGAGTTTCTCTCATATCGATGGAGTCCCGGGTCCAGGCTCTTCTTCTATCATCATCACTATTACTGGTTATGTGACTGTAGGAACCTCACTTAAAAGCCTCTAGGTTTTGTTTTGTCTGTAAAAGAGGGCACTGTTGTCCTCCCCCCCTTCCAGAGCTGTTCTGAGGAAAATACTTTGTGAGTGATAAGAGGTGGTGTCCCAGCAAGCCAGGAAGGCTTTGAGTATGGATCTGGAGACAGACTGGATCTCTGTACATCCTGTAGGAATGACCTAGCTAAATTCAGAGGCTCATCACAAAGTTGGCCTCAGTGGGGTGAATTTTTCTGCCCAGCACCTCTCCCAGGCCATCTTATGAGTTATAGAGGGGTCACAATCTGCCCCAGAGCAGAGGACCCAGACCAAGGAAATCACACATCCCCAACGTAATGATGATGGACGGCTCCAGATAAGTGATGGCTTCTTTCTGTCACCTTCCAGTGAACACACTCTGGCGCACTCCCATCTCTCCATGCTCAGTCACACTGCCTGCCTGGGATTCTGAGGGGCCCTTGAGCTTGGAAGCTGCAGTCAGACCTGAGCCACAGATCACAGTCTTGGGTTTTCCCTGCCACCCCGACTCTGAAGGAGGCAGGCCAGTTTCTAACTCCAGCTCCTGTTCACTCTTTCTAAGAGTCTCTTAGATTGGGCATGATGAAAAGCATCCGTGGAAAACTAACCTATGCTTACCCTGTCCTCATGGAGAAATGAGGGAAGGAACTTATCAAGGAGCTGAAGTCACAAGGAGCCAAGGGTACAGGCTTCTTTACATACAGACAAATGTGGGAGGGCAGCAGTCTTAGGGTCAGAAAAACTGAATTCAAATCATACTGGCTCTGAGCAAGTCACTTAACTTTTCTGTGCCTCAGTTTCCTCATCTGTTAAGTATAACAACATAAGGTCATTAAGAGGATAGTTCTTTTTCCTTCTTTTTTAAAATAAATCTGAAAGTGCTGTGTAAATGTGAGTCACTATTTGAAGAGGCAGTGCTGTTGAAGAAAGAACTCTATGTTTAGAATCAGTCCCTGTCATTTACTACTGTTGTGATTTTTGCAAAATCTCCTCTCTGGGGCTGCAGTAGCTTCCTCATCTCTTTTGCTATCCGAGTGGAGGTTTAGTTTGAAGGGGAAGAGAACAAACATTTATGAAGAGCCTACTGTGTGCCAGACATTATTTTAAATGCTTTATGAATGTTATCCTATCTGACTTATTATTTTTGTCAAACTGCCAAGAGATTGATAGATCAGGGAACGCTCTCACTAGTTCTCTACAGAGAAAGGAGAGAATGGACAACTCCTCCTCCCTGACACACACAGATGGTGTTAAGAGAAGGGAAGATGCGTTTCTTAATTGCCCACTGGGCATCAGGCACTATGTGAAGCTAAGTGCTTCATGAATATTATCTCACTTGATTTGTTATTTTTCATTATATTGTTTTGTTAGTATTTTAGTACAAATATTTACTTAGAAAGCTAACAGATATTTGTAAAGATTAATTCAGGCATTTACACTTGTTTACATATTAGCCAGGCTTGTCTGTATTAAGGGATAAAAGGCTTGGTTTTAGGCTTGGTTTTTTTTTTTTGAATGTGGGTTTTTTGGTTTTGACTGAAAGTTATGTGAAAATGAAAGAAGCTGCCTCATTGGCAAACTGCTAAGAGACTGACAGATCTCGTGTAGATCAGGGAAAGTTCTCACTAGTTCCCCACAGAGGAATGGACAGCTCTGGCTTCTGCCTACCCCCTTGAGAGACACAGATGGTGTTAGCGTGTAAGAGAAGGGCAGAGGCATTCATTAATTTCCCATTGGGCATCAGGCACTGTGCTAAGTGCTTCACAAATATTATCTCACTTGATAAATAAACAGGCTCCCCCGCTACTCCCAGAATGTGAGAAGAAGGTCCAAAGAGCTCATTCTCTGGTACTGAAGCTAATCAGAATCATCATAAACGGATGAGTGGACATCTACAGAGGCCACCCCAGCCTTCAGAGACATTATGGTGTCGAAGAGTTAAGAGGCAGACATTTGAATCCCAGCTCGGCTACTATTATTACTTGTATGACTGTGGGCAAGTCCCTTAACCTCTCTAGGCCTCAGTTCCTTTATCTGTAAAATGAGGAGGTTGGACTCAATTGGATGTTAAAACTCTAAATCCCTGGTCTAAATCCATTCCAGGTCTGAATCTGTGATCCTACAGCCACACCTTTAAGGGCAGTCCACTGGGAGGTGTGTCAAAATAAATAAGATTCTATTCCTGCCCTCAAGGAACTTACAATCTAATAATAAGAGGCTAGTGGGCCTCTGAGGTTCCTTCCAGGTCTAAGGCTGTACTCCTAATGTTGAATGTACAGCAAAGGACTAGAGAGTCTGAATTCCAGCTCTGCCACTTAGAACCTGGGTGGCCTTTTTTGACCTTGCATGGCCACTCATTTTACCCCTCCTGGCCTGTTTCTTTACTTTTAAAATGAGGGCGTTGGACCAGATGACCTCTAAATTCCTTTCCAGAACCAGACCTATGATCCCATGAAGTGGTTCATAATTCTCAGTAAGGTACTCTAGGGTACTTCCTTGAAGGGAAGGCATCAATTTAAAACGGGATTAATGGAAGATAAGCTGGGATCTTGGAAACAGCAACATATGTCATGAGGAAGTGTGGTGTTCTTGGTGACTGATAAGGAACATTTAAAAAAAGAGTTATACGTAGTACCACTCGGTCGATGTGGCTCCAGGAATGTCCAGAGGAAGGGGTGCCATAATTCTGAATGACCAACACTATCTCTGTAGACAGAAATAGTCTAAAGGGCATGGGTTCCTCTACCAGGGATAGCCCCCACTGCATCTGACCAAGCTGGCTTCTTTCAAGGACTTATTCATCAAGGTGGACCCTGGGCAAATGACAGTGACTAGTTCTCATCCCCTTGTAAATTAACCAGTTGGCATTCTAGTCTAGTGAGCAGAATTCAGTAATTAGAGCCTGATCAATCTTGGGTGAACTGATAAAACTCACTTTTCGAACCTGCAAATGTCAACGACAACACTTAGAAATTGGGGTGACCCCAACCAGGGGCAGTAGGCCATGAAACTGACTATGAGCCACCCACTCTCTCTTTAATACTGTCTTCTGATTGGTAAACTCTCATCAGAGCAGCAAACTGTTATAGAGGCTATAATGTAGGACCTCAAGCCAGCAAGATCTGAATTGAAATCCTGACTTAGACACTTACTAATTTCATGACCTAGGGCAAATCACTTAACCTCTGCCTTGATTTCTTCGTCTGTCAAATGGGGGATAATAATATCATCTACCTCCTAGGACTTCTGTGAGGATAAGATGAGATAGTGTTGGCAGGGTACCCTGCAAACCTGAAAACACTATATAAACATAATAATAATAGTTAGCATTTAAATAGCACCTCCTATGTGCCAAGCATTATGATAAGGATTGTATAGTTATTATCTCACTTAATACTCACAGCAACTCTGGGAGGTAGGTGCTATAATTAATCCCCATTTTACAGATGAGAAAACTCAGGCAAAGGGATTAAGTGTCTTACCTGAAGTCATATAGCTAGTAAGTGGCCGAGTCTGGATTTGAACTCAGGTCTTCCTAATGCCAGGCCTAGCACTCTATCCCCTTGCTGCCTACAAGCTATTGTTATTGTGTCAGGGGAAGTCTCTTACTTCTTCAGTATTCTTCCTTATTTCCATATTTCCTCCTTTCAGTCATTCCTGCACAATAGTACAAGACTAACCTTCCCAAAGTGCCATTATCACCACGAGACTCCCTTGCTCAGTTTCTCCCTACTGTCTACCATGTTAGGTCTAAGCTCCCCTCTGGCTCAATTTCAGGGTTTTCTACAGTCTGATAGCGTTCCAATCCAAACAGACTTCCCACTACTCCTCAACATATGCTCTCCACTCCACCAAAAAGCCAAACAACCCAACCCTCAACAACCAGTTTTTTTTTAATCTCTTTATGAAAAGCATGTCTCTACTCAAAACTCTTTCAAAGATTAGCAAAATAGGAAGGAAAAAACCCAAACACACACCACTATCAGATCCCCTGATTTCCCATGGCCTCTTCCTATCTTATCATGCCAGGGACTGTGCTCATATCCTGCTCTGACACACACTACCATTCCCGTGCCCACCTCCCACGAGTGGATTAAGTGAGTTGGGGAAACAAAATCAAATAGGGCAGTTTCTTTCAAAAAAGGAAAAAAAGTTCCTGTGGGACTGACTGACGAGATAGATGAATGAATAACATTGTGTCCCTGGATGGAGACGTACAGATAGAGCAAAGGGCAGGGCACTGCCCCCCCTCAAGCCCGTCCCAGCTTTACTCAGGATGACTTCAGTGAGATTTGGACTAATTGGGAAAATTACGTTCAGGGAAATGCTGATGACGCTGTTAATAACTATCTTTCATAAAAGTTTTTACTTTTCAAATGCTTTTATCCTATCAGAACATCTCCTGTCATACTTATTTGATCTTTACAACAACCTTGTGAATAGTCTGGTAAGATATTATTGTCCTCTTTCACAGATGAAGAAAGAGACAGAGTGATATCACACAGCAAGTCCACGGTGGAGGTCAGAAACAGAAAGGGTAGCTGTTTGGGGGAACTCTTGCTCCAGTGTTCCCCCCCTCCCCTCACATTTGCAAACTCCTCATTGGTCTTTTTGGGACTGCAGAAGCAAAAACCCCTCCTGACATGGCCAGATTGTGTCTCTGAAAGTCAAATAAGGAAGCAGCACCAACAAGTGGACAGAAGAAGGCCTTTCCTTAACGTTGACAAAGCTGGTATTCCATTCATTGGCTCCAGTCAAGACCCAGCACTAGAGGCTGTCCTCATCTTAACTGAGAAGCAGGACCCATAGAAATCACTTCCCCATCCTCGTTGTACAACTTTCTGATAAAGACATGCAAGAGCAATCTTACATCACCCTCAAACTGGAAACTGGGCAGCGCCCAGGGACACTTGAGAAGCTAATGAAATCAGCGGGGAATCAGCCTGGCTATTCTGAGTTTCCTCATTTCAAAAACTTTGAAAGTCCTCCTCATAATCCTCTCAAATAAAGAAGTCCCAAACCCCTCCCACTCCATGGCTCCCTTCAGAGGAGTCAAGGTACTTTACCTTTCGGAGGTCTCCACCCTGGCAATATTCCATAGCCAGCAGGGGAAGGTCATTGGGCGCCAGCTTCTGCATCCCTTCAGGGACATCCCGGGCAGCCACTACATTGGGATGGTTGAGTCTAAGAAGGGGAGAGCCAGTGTATTATCTCTATACTGTCAATATCTCATCATTTTAATTATTAGATTGTAAGTTCCCTGAAGGCCAGAATAGAATCTTATTTATTTTTCTATGTCTCTCAATGGACTGCTCTTTCAAATAGAACCATGAGATCACAGCTTTAGACCTCCAATGAATCTTAGCCTCCAATCTAATGCAACTCTCTCATTCTAACCATGAGGGAGCTGAGTCTCAAAAGGTTAAGGGTTCAAGGTCAATAGTACAGCTGGTCTGTGAACCCAGGCGCTCTGACTCTTTCTACCATACTAAGCTGACTCATTAGCTACAGGCCCTTTATATAAATATCAATATATATAAATTTTCTTTTCTCTCTCTTCACAGAATGGTACAGGGAACAGAGAACTAAGCCCTGGAGCCAGAGGCCCTAGTTTCAAATATTATCATCTTTATTTTACAGATGAGGAAACTGAGATTCAGGAAGAAGAAGTGACATAATAGCTAGCTTATATAGCACTTTATGAATGTAATCTCATTCGATTCTCACAACAACCCCACGAGGTAGGTAGGCGTTATTAATATCCCCATTTTGACAATGCTTACTGTCTGCATAAATGCTGGGGATTCAAAGAAAGGCAAAAACAGTCCTGGCTGTCAAGGAACTCACAGTCTAATGGAAGTCCTAGATGGAAGTTACAAGAGTGCTGATTTTAAATCAAGAATGACTATTTCAAAGTATTTTTGGCAAAAGGGATAGGTGGCCAGCTTTGAGTCAGGAAGACCTGGGGTTTAATCTTGCCTTTGGCATGTGTATATAGACCACGCAAAAGTCACTTAACCAATCAAAATAACTTTGCTTCAAATAACTTCTGAAATCATAAAACTGTAAGAGACAGAGTCACTTATCTGTACCAGTGAAGGGAACATATGGAACACATATACATATCTGTCCCCCTCTTCCCCACCTGCCTACCAATTAAGTCACAGGTTCAGACCTTGGGATATTCTTACTCTACATCTCAGCCAGTCTTGGTGTCCTCATTATCCCTACACTTCAGAAGACCCCCTTGGATGGGGCTGGATTCCCAGAACCTCACCTTCTCATGATCTGTATTTCTAGGCACCACCTCTCTCGATTCCGAAGACTTAGCTCCTGTCGACACTGTTTGATGGCGATCTGCTCTCCCGTTTCCTGCAAGAGCAGATTATGCAGAAGGGTAAGAGAGTACTGAATGGACAGCGGAGTATTCCTTGACCTGGAATGACCTCCGCCCATTAAACTTAGCCACATCCTATCTAGTCTTCAGGTCAAGTCTCAGCCCCTCTAGAAGGCCATCTCCTACTCCTCCAGCTTGTCTTCCTTGGCTTTTTTCCCCAATTTCTATTGCATCATAATCAGTATCATACAGTTGAACATCTAATTATCCTTTGTCACACGTGTATTTGTTTTTTTATCAATTCAGCTTCATGGTTAACCACGTTTTACATTCATAGAATCTTAGAGCTAGAAGTGGTCCCAGGGGATGTCTAATCCAATTAGTACTTGAACCATCTCATCCCACCCTCCAACCCACCACATTAGCATAGCATAGTCCTAAAGTGCTAGAGCTAATGTCAAAAAGACCTGGGTTCAAATCCTGCCTTTGATATTTATTATCTGTTACCAGAAACAACTGACAATCTGTCTCAGTTTCCTTATCTGTAAAATGGGAATAGTAATACTAATAATAGCTAGAATTTATATAGCACTTTAAGAACTGCAAATCACTTTACAAATATTGTCTCATTTTATCCTTACAACAACCGTGGGAGATAGGTGCTGTTATTCCCATTTACGGTTGAGGAAACACAGACAGAGGTTAAGTGACTTGTGGAGGTTCACACAGCTCCTACGTGTCTGAGGCTGGATTTGAACAAGTCTTCCTGACTTTAGGTCAAATGTTCTATCTATTGAGCCACACAGCTTCCTTCTACCTTAAGGTGTTTAAAGCATTCTATAAATGTCAGCTGGGACCTCTTGTTGGCCAATCAGTGAGAGGCATGCTCCTTAAGAAAGAAATGTAGCCTGTAAAAGACCAAGATATCTTATGACACTTCAGAAGGGAAAGAAAGAAAGAAACAAAGAAAGAGAAAAAGAAAGAAAGAGCGATATTGATGTGGTTTAGAGGTTCAGAGACTCCAAAATATCAAGGTACAGGGCAGTCAACTGGAAAGATTCACGGACTCAAGCTGTCTTCCAGTCAAGTGGCAAAAAGTTTATTGTAATGCCATAAGAGCAGGCAGAACTCCTTAGGGAACTTGAAACTTAATGGGGGTGATGCTAAAGCTTATATAGAAAAAGTTCAGTGAGTGGTGTGCCAAGTATGCTAATTAGGTGGTAACATACAGTTTCTGTACCTTGGCCGAAGGTGTCATTCACTACTGGCATGGCCTGGGTGGGGCGGAGGAGGTGGAGTGTGGGGGTGTGTGTAGGGGTTCTAAGGGGTGTGTTTTTGTCTGCTACGTCTGTAACAAGATAGCTTTGGGAGTTGACATCTGCAGCTTGACCTTTGGGTCGTATATGGTAACTGTGGGAATCAGTACTTAGTAGTTCCTGCTGGTACAAGATAGTCCTGTTCGTACAAGGGAAATTCGACAGAGGACAGCTTGTTCTTGTAACAGGGAGAGACGGTTTGCCTCACTGGGGCCCATTCATGAGTTATTCCCAGAGATAGGTTCTTTGGGCAGGGGAGAGAGATAGTCCTAGGGCTAGTCCAAACATAAGCACCCCATCAGTACTGCCCACCTGGTCAGTTCCAGTTCAGTGCCCTGTAGGCAGCTCTTACTATTCACAGAGTTGCTGTTTGTCCTTCTTTCTCCCGCCTTGGCCATTGTTTGGGCCCTGACTGACTGGGAGTAAATGTAAATAGAAACTATTTCTGTTTTGCCCAGAAACCCTGGGGGTCTTACCCTCTTAATTTCATCTTTTTTTTTCTGGACTAAGTTAAAGACTAGGCAAATTCTTTGCTTCATTTTTTTTTTACCTAGCCTTAATCACTAAGTGGGTGTTGCCTCAGTCAAACTGAGACCTGCTAAAGACTTAGGTTTTTTTTTTCAGGCAATTACGGTTAAGTGACTTGCCCAAAGTCACACAGCTCGTGACTTTAGCTTTAAAAGGCCAAAGTCTCCCACTGCATCTGGAGCCATCTCCAGTGTATCTAGCTACTGGACCCAGATGGCTCCAAAAGAGAAAGTGAGGCTGGTGACTTTGCACAGCCCTCCCTCATTTAAATCCAATTCACTTGTGTGTTACGGCATGACCTCTATGATGTCATGGTCCTCTTCGAAAACAAAGGACAAGCAATACCAGCAACAACAAATGTCAGCTGTTATTGTTACATCAGAAAAGTGGTCATCCAGCTTTTCCTCGAGGAACTGCAGCATGGAGCTCCTTCAGCAGCCCACGACACTCTGGAACACCTCTAATTATTAGGAAGTTTTTGCTATATCAAGCCTAAATTTGTTCCCCTGAAACTTCTACCCATTCTTCCTGGTCCTTCCTTCTGGAGCCAAAAAGAATAAGTCTAATCCCCTTCCACAGGACAACCCTTCAGGTACTTGAATGCAGCTATCAAGTCTCTCCTAAGTATGATTTTCTCCCCAGGCTAAATAGACCCATTTCTTTCAACTGATATTTACAGGCAGATGTGAGTTCAAATTCAGCCTCAGACACTCACTGGCTGTGTGACCCAGAGTACAATACTTCAAAACTCTAAGTTTCCTCATCAGCAAAATGGGGATAATAACAGCACCTATCTCCCAGGGTTGTTGTAAAGGTCAAATGAGATTATATATGTGAAGTGCTCTGCAAACCTTACGGTATTATATAAATGCTAGCTGTTAAGTAGTAGTAGTAGTTTTTGTAGCAGTAGTAGTAGTAGTAGTAGTAGTAATAGTAGTAGTAGTAGTAGTAGTGGTGGTAGTAGTAGTGGTGGTAGTGGTGGTGGTGGTGGTGGTGGCAGTAGTAGTAGTAGTAGCAGTAACAGTAAATTATTGGGTATAATAACGTATTATATTAATAATATTGTAATAAACATCACATGAATTGTTATTGCTATCATTATTATTATTATTATCATCACTACCCTTTACCACCCTGATTGTCCACCTCAGGACATTCTCCAGTTTATCAAATTTTTTTCTCAAATATGGTCCAGAAAACTGAACACAATATTTTCTATTGGCTGAGATTGTTGATATTATTATATATCATATATTATACTTTATATGTACATAATATTATATGTAATATTTATTTTATATCTATATATTCATTCATATTATTTTATATGAAAATATATATTCATAAAATATTTATTATATGCTGTATTTATGAAATGTTTTATATTTATATTATATATTTGTTTATATATTATATTTATATTATCCTATAATATTAATATAGTATATGTTATATAAATATAATGTAAACAAATGAATATTATGTAAGTATATTTATATTATAATCCAACACCACACAATGGTATTAGCTATGCCTCTCAGGTTTAAGCTGGACAAGTATGCCCTCTGTGACTCTACAGAACCAGTGTAGTATGGAGAAAAGAGTTCTGGAGTGGAATCAATAGAGATTTCATTTTTTTCTTGGCTATGATATTTGCTAGCTCTGTGACCTTGGGCAAATCAAATATCCCTGTACTTGTTTCCTCATCTGTAAAATGGAGATTAAAATACTTGGAACATTTATCTCACAGGGTTGTTATAAGAAAAAACCCTTTTCAATTCAACACATATAAAGTAGCTATTAATTATAAGTAGTCTTATAAAGTGCAAAATCTATGTAAATGTATTATTATTATTATTATTTTTCCAGGTTATTAATAAAAATATTAAACAACACAAGGCCAAGCACAAATCCCAGGGTCCCATTAATGAGCTCCTTCCAAGTTGACTTTGAACCAGTAACGACCCCTCTTTGGGTCTGACCATTCAAAACACTTCTGAAGCCACCAAACAATGCTATTGTTTAGTCCATATCTCTTCATCTAGTCCACAAGATGGACTAGAAACATGAGAGAAAAACATGAGAGATTTTGTTGAATGCTTTACAAAAATCTAGGCCAACTATGGCCCCAGCTTTCCCTGGACCTGCCACTCTAATAACCCGATGGCATGATCTACTCTTGGCAGTCTGTAATTACTGAGTCCTTTCGCAGATGTTCCTTAACCATTCTTTTAATAACTGGTTCCAGAATTTTGCCAGGAATTAAAGTCAAGTTTACTGGCCTGTGGTCTGCAGACTCCACTTTCTTCCCTATTTTGAAAATAAGTATGACAACATGTGCCCTTATATCAGGAGTTCTTAATCTGGGGTCCACAGATCTCCAAAGTGTCCAAGGATAGATGGAATCTATAAACCTTGGATAGGAAAATATACATTTTTAATTTTATTAACCTCTAACTGAAATTTTTGGCATTTCCTCCAATTATTTAAAACATTCTAAGAAGAGGTCCATGCCTTCTTCAGACTGCCAGGGGGGCTATGACACAAAAAGAGGTTAAGAACCCCTGCTTTATTTATAAGGCCCTCCAGAACCTCTCCTGTTCTCCATAACGTTTCAAAGATCACTGATACTAACCCAGTAATGATCTCTGTCAAGTCTTACCATGGGAAGTGTGCAAGATGCCTGCGTCCTCTCAGTGGTTTTAATTCAGATGATCTAGATCTGTGATGCGGTGACAGAGCTGGACATCTTACCATCCATGTGGTAGACCTGAAGCTTCTGGTGCTGCTCCTGACCATCACTTGGCTCTGGTGGCCTGACTCACTCACCAAGGGCAACAAGCTGTTCTCTTACTATCTCCCCATTTATCTGGAGTTTCAATGCCCTATCTGTCATTTTTGTCCTCTCCTTTCCAGTCCATGTTGGTGCTAGGCTTAGCAAAGACACTCAATCAGCTTAGCCCCCTGCAGCTCAGAACTCCATTTCTTTGCTCAAGCAATCTACCAGCCTCAGCCTCTACATCAGCCAGGTTTATAGGCATCCACCACCATGCTGGGCTAAATCAGTTGCTCTTAAAGAAGAACTCTATCAAGGTAGAGGGCTTCAGGAATTGACCCTTTCTGTCTAAAGAGCCAGTACTGATTATTCATAATTACAGCACCCAGTACACTAGAACAATTAATCCAGAATCAGTGGGAGGTGAGAGGAAACACACAGTATGACCACACATTAGAAGACTATTAAAACATCTCAAGAGAGCAGTCATGAGGGCCTGAATGAGGCTGCTGAGGATAGGAGTGATTAAGAAAGAGATGGATATGAGAAATATTGTGGAAATAGAATTAACAGACCCTGGTGACAGATTAGAGCAGAGAGGGAAAGGATGGGAGACTAAGAAAAGAAATGATAGTGTTATGTAAAAAAAAAAAAACCCCAAAACTCTAAGGACTAAGCCTACTTTTAAAGTAAAGAAACTTAATTCTCCCCTATTCTAAAAGGTATAGAAGTTGAAACATCTGGGAGCATGACATCAGGGAGGTGATGCCATGGCATGCAAGTGAATTGAATTTAAGTCAGGGAGGGCTGTGCAAAGTCACAAATACTGGAAGAGGAGGGGGAAGGGAACAAAAATTTATTAAGTACCTACTATATGCCAGGCACTCTTATCTCATTTGATTTTCACAACTCTATGAGACGGGTACTCTTACTATCTTCATTTTATAGTTAAGGGAACCGAGGCAGGCAGAAGTTAAGTGATTTGTCTAAGGTCGCACAGTTAGTAAGTGTCTGAGACCAGATTTAAATTCAGGTCTTTCTGACTCCAGGTCCACAGCTCTATCCACCATGCCTAGCTAATAGAGTTACTGTAAATGTGTAAAGGATCCCAAAGAGGTTGTGATTACATGGATTCTATCAATTAATATTTGCCATTTTAGAAATTAAAATGCCTTGTTATTACAAAAATAGTTTTGACCCCCTGAAAAGGTGTTGGGACAATACTTTGAGAATCACTAACTTGTAGGAAAGGGGGTCTTTTGGCTTGTTTAGTAGTAATTTTAAATCCCTGAATGAAAGGCTGTTTTCATCCAACCTCCGTGGAAGATGATACGCCTTTGGTAAATGTTGCTAAGGTGCAAAAATTTGGTTTTATCCCCGGTGAGGCTCATAAGGAGGCAAAGTCTTGGTTGGGAGCTTGGAAACACTGAATGGGTGAGTCTCAATTTCAACTTGGGCCCTGGGGGAGTCTGCATGCAAAAGGCCTGTGTCCTCTTGTTGTTGAGACCTTTTTGGGGGGTTTTCTTGGCAAAGATACTGGAATGGTTTGCCATTTCCTTCTCCAGCTCATTTTACAAATGAAGAAACAGACAAACAGGGTCAAATGACTTGCCCAAGGTCACACTGTTAATAAGTTTCAGAGGCTAGATTTGAACCAGGTCTTCCTGACTCCAGGCCTGGAACTCTATCTACTGCATCACCTACCTGCCCCTCTTAGCTGTTTTAATTCAGATGATCTAGACTTGTGATGGAGAGACAGAGCTGGGCATCTTATCATCCATTTAGTGGACCTTAAGTTCCTGGTGCTACTCCTGGCCATCACTATTACTTTAATACATAAGACTTTTAGGAACTGCCACTAACAGCATTTTCCCAATTAAAAAAAAATGACTACTTATGTTGTTTTGTATTTTTATTTGTTTTATTCTCATTCTTCAGTTTTTAGAGCTGTTTTTGAGATTGTTTTAATGATGAAAGGTTTCTCAGAAAATTGTTAGGAACCAGTCTTCAGGGAGTGGGATGTAGTGGGAACTTGGGCTTGTTCCTGGGGTTACTGCAGCTATTGGGGAAACATCCAGTCCCCTTTGCCCCTTGGCTCAGTCCCACTTGTATTGTAGGCCTAGTGGTTTGAATTATGTATAATAGGATTGGGGGGCAGGTAAGTGACCAGAATAATTTTCTGGAGCTTGAACTACAGGGTACTTCCTTCAGTTCTTGACTATAGAAAGGGAACTGTGCTTTATATCCTTTTTAATTTTTGAATCATGCATTTTAAAATTTCAATGATCAAGGTAGTTTCAATTGGATTTTATGGTTCATGTGTACCTATTGCATTTTAAATAAAGCCCCCCAAACTTGAATCTCCTGGACTAAGTGAAGTTTAGGCTTAGCCAACAACAACGTTTAAAGTGTATTTCAACACCACTGGTGATTCAGTCAGAAGCACCTACACTAGTGCTTTGCTCCAGGACCACAGAGTACTGATCCCTCTCACCTCACCTCACCATGACTCTCAGCAGACCTTCAACAGTGCTCTAATGTCTCAGGAAGTGTGGAGCACAGGATTTGAAGTCAGAGGCCTAGAGTTTAAATCCTGGCTCTGCTACTCCCTAGCTGTGTTACCTTGGCTCTGACACGTCTCTCTGGGCCTCAGTTTCCCTATCTGTAAAATATGCTGGCCTAGATCTTTTCAGGTTCCTTTCCAGATCAACTTAGACCTGTCCTTATGACTGCCCTTTGGAGAAAAGCTTTATCTTTAGGAAAGAGAGGATAGAGCTTCTTCTTCTAAAAGGAAGCTTCCTCATGGTGACTCAGGGATGAGTCCTTCCAATGAAGACGCCCTCATTGGAAGCCATATCTAAAGCTCTGGTCTTTAGTCAAGAAAACTCAGTCTCTTGTTGCTGCGGCACCCAGACAAGTGGCTGAGGGTAACAGGGCACACCCAGAAAGCAGAGCTAACTGGGGTGTGTGTGGTGGGCAAGTGGCATTTCAGAGAAATAACTTAATAGTAATGTGCAGATTCCAAATACACACACACACCCCATAGACTTTGCCCATATGCTCATGGTTAGGTCAAAACCAAAACACCCTTTGTGGCTAGGAGCAATGGTATTTAGACTGTGTGGGCACTCAGAGTAGGGAGAGCAGGTGGAGACCATTTCAAACTGTATGTGATAGACAGCTGGAATACTTAAAGGGAAATTATCGTCTTTCTCTTTCTCTTTCTCCTTCTCTCCCTCCTCTCCTCTTGTCTCTCTGTCTCTCTCTCCCTCCTCTCCTTTTCCTTCCCTCTTTCCTTTCTTTCCTTCCTTTTTTTTTTTAAAGCAAGAGTAACTGCCCTTGACTAGGTTAAGAAGGGACCTATTATAGAGGGTGGTACAAGAGAATGATCCCTGAACTCTATGTAACAAGATTTGGGTCATAGTGCTACCATATAAAGAGGCAGTGAGATGGCTCAGTGGATAAAGCTCTGGGCCTGGAGTCAAGAAAACCTGAGTTCAAATCTGACCTCAGACACTTATTAGATGTGTGACCCAAGACAAGTCACCTACTCACTATTGGAGAAGGAAATGACAAACCACTCCAGCATCTTTGCCAACAAAACCCCATGGCCAGCACTGGTGTGCTATGGTCCACAAGGTCACGAAGAGTCAGACACAATTGAATGATTGAACACTACCATATAAAACCCATGTAACCACTGGATCTTGGGCAAGAAATTTAAACCCCCTTCATTTGTATAATGGGCATAATAACACTTACAATACCTGAGAGTTAGCATGGCACAATGGACAGAGAGTAGACCTCCAAGTCAAAAGGTCTAGGTTCAAGTCCCACCTTTTACACAAATGGGTCATGGGACCCTGGGCAAATCACTTCATCCCTGTCCCAGGCAACTCTCTAATGTGCAAATCTGTATAAGTATAGGATGTTTCCTTATCAAGAGTTTCACAAACCAATAAAATCAAAGCTTTGGTAAAAAAAATATGCTTGTAATTTCTACTTCACAGGGTTGTGGTGAGGAAAGGGCTCTGTATGCTGGAAGGTACTACAGAAATGTGAGCTATAGGTCCCTGTGACAGTCTAGATTCTGTAAGTTTTATTTATTCACTCTTTATAAGTCTATCACTCATTTTCAACACCTTTACTTATCCTTGTCCTCATTTATCCCTAAAATAGAATGTGAGCTCTCTGAAGGCAGGGACTGTTTAATCTTTAGATTCATAGCCTTCAGTGCAGTGCCTTTCCTGTAACAGACACTTAAATGTTTATTGAATTTAATGTTATAATATAGGAACGATGTGGTGACTCTAAGTGGGGTGACTCTAAGAGGGAAGTTAACCTCAGGTGGGTGATCATCCCCTTTAGATCTGAGGGAGTTGGAGATTAGTCTTTTTTGTTTTTTCAGTGGGCCCTTTCCGGTACGGGACTGGCTAGGACTCCTGACCCTCTGCCAGAAATGAGAGCCTCTCTCCTAAGCAACCTGACTCCAAAGCTCTAACCTGCAAATATCCAGAAGGAGTCCTGTCCACTGGGAATTGAGAAGGCCTGGTGTACTTTCACTTTAGGAGTTGCATAACCCTGGGGCACGACAGTCCAGTCAAGAGCCTCAGAGGCAAACAACCAACAGTTGTGACCACTCATTTCAGCCAGACTCCTGGATTACCGTGAAGAACTTGCCGACCTTTCTGGCGTGGAAGGTGAGCCACAACCTTAAGGAAATCGGGTTTTTTTGTCAGGATTTTGTCAGGACAATAGTTTGTTCTTTATAATGAAATCCAGTCACTGGATGTTGGACTATAAGGTCCTTGAGGTCAGAGATTTTCACTTTTTCTTTGCTTCCCCTGAACACAGTAGGGTTTAATAAATGACAGTTGATTGATTAGGTAACATGTCCAAGGTTTCTCTGACAGGCAGGCTAGGGAAGATTAGCAAACCTGAGGAAGCTATTCTGATCCATGTTCTTTCTGCCTCCTTTCCTCTTCTTTCCAAATGAGACCACCCTACCACCACGACAGGCTGGAACACAGTGGAATAGGAACACCTACAGTTCCCTAGAGCCACTTGTGAAGTGAAATGTGAGATGCACTAACCCCCCTCACCCCATGACTGTTTCTTCCCAGGCTAGAGAGAGGTCCTACCTACCTCATTGTGCCATCGGATGACGTTTCCAAATCCCCCAGTTCCAAGCCGTTCTTTCATTTCCCAGGGCCCACAAGTCTGCATCTGAAGAGAAGGTGGCCAGCTCATTCTGAAGACGTTATTGCTGTGGGAATTCAGAGGAGGAGGGTGAGAGGAAGAAAAAGAAGACCCCTTGGAGAGATGGAACGCTACAGGGGATTCCTGCCTTTGGGTGTGAGTGAGAAAGGACAAGTGGGTTTTTGTTTTCTTTTTTAAAAAGGAAATCTTCTCTAACAAATTCTTCAACACCTCTCCTACCTCTGTCACTCAAAGAGATCTCTCAGCCACCACAGGAATCCACCTAAGGCCCTACTTTCCCTGGATAAAAAATTTTAAAGTCAATTCTTATCTCCTGGAAAATCACATATGCCTTTATATGGTATGGGGAGCCTATGAATGAATCCTTCCCCGCCACCCCAAACCACCCCCTTCAAATGGATCAGTGGGGGAACCCACACCAGCTGGATTTTCTCTCTTTGGGCTTTACAGAAATCTCCCGGATTTTAATACCCGCCAACTAGAAACAAAACAGAGTGGGTGGGAAAAGCAAACTTCCCAAACTCAGTAGAAATTAGTTCCCAAGCCTCCAGGCAGGGGCGAACAGGATTGATTATCTCCCTGGAAGTCAGGAGGAGAAGTGACCAAGGAGAGGAACTAGAAGGAGGTTACGACTGGTTCCACTTTAAGCCACCTGTTCCAGCTCAGGGTCCCCATGGGTGGGGAGGGTAGGGGGCGAGGGGGTGGTGAAACTCACCTGCCGGGTGGTTGAGGGACGGGTAGGCGGCACTTGCCAGGGCAGGGAACAGGGATCCCTGGAGGGAGGTGGAGACCACCTGGAGGGACCTAGGTCAGTGGGAGCCCCCCTGTCCACATCGGGGTTCGGGGACCTGGATTAGACAGCCTGTCTGCCAGCTGTAGACTTCCTCAAACACTTCCTGCTCTGATGTCAGCAGGCCACATGGCGGTGGACGGGCAGGCTCTTAAAGGGGCCACAGGGACCGAGCAGGCCTTCAGCTCCTGGCTTCTCATGTTCTAGGCTGGACATCCTATGCATCCCTCCAACCCACCTGGCTCTTTCCAAGGTGGACCCCAGCTCCCAGGATTTCTCGAGAAGATGTATGTTGTTCTAAAAATTAAAAAACAAAATAAAACAAAAAACACAATCCCAGGGTGTGTGTTGGGGGGATGTAGGGGGAGAACAGTCTTTTCTAAGTACACTCTGGTGCCAAATTCCAGCACCTCCAAGCAAGGAATGAATGCAACAAAGTCTCAGGCCCTTTCTCAGACAAATGAAACTGACCAGGAGCAAGTTCTGGGAGCCGAGGCAATGATGGGGATTTCCTCAGCCTTCGCACAGCTGGGAGGGCTCTTTCTGTTTCCTCTGACACTGCATGAGGTGGAATTTCCTTGGGTCGCTGCTTAGGATGGATTGGCTGACGATTTACAAGAATTTGCTGTTACCACAGCGTCATCCCCCTTAGAAGTCAGTTATTCCTCCCTTTTGCAGGCTCCCTGCCCTTTATCTGGAAGGATAAATCACAGCTAAACCCCATTCCAAAGGACACTGCCACTGTGCCAAAAGAAAGAAAGAAAAACAAATTCAAAAGAGTCAGAGGAGTGAGGTTGGATTGAGTTGGCCCCTTTGCCCTCCTGCATGAGCTGGACGGCCTGAGCAAGCCAGTGCTCCTCTCTGAGGCTCAGCGGTCTCCTTTTAAAAAATGATGCAGTGGATCTAAGAGGGGTTTAGAGAAAGTTCATTCCTGCTCTTACAAAAACCTGGTAATGTTTCATTAAAAACCAGTGTTTGGAGCCCAAGGGGTATGAGGAAATTAAAAAAGAAATTTATCCTTGATAAATAATAGGGAGAAGCAGCCTGCTATAGTAGAAAAGCCTATGTCTAAAATTTCTCAGGATTTAGAACTATCTATATGACCGTGGACAATTTACTTGAGCCTCAGTTTTCTCACCCATTCAATGAAAGTGTTGGGCTAGATAATTTCATCCCTCCCTCCCTCCATTCTTCCCTCTACTCATCCATTCAGCCACCTATCCATCCACCCATCCATCCATCCACCTATCCATCCACCCATCCGTCCACCCATCCGTCCACCCATCCACCCATCCATCCATCCATCCATCCATCCATCCATCCATCCATCTACCCATCCACCTATCCACCCACCCACACATCCATCCATCCACCTATCCATCCATCCACCCACTCATTCATCCACCCATCCATCCACCCATCCATTTAATAACTATTTAGCAAGCTCTTAATATACAAAGCATCATGCTTGGGTAGGTGCTAGAGATACAAAGACAAAATGAGAAACAGTTCCTGCTGTCAGTTTCCCCAACATCCATGTTGGTGAATGATCCACTGTTTTAGGCAGACTCTAAACAAGTTTCACTCTGTTATGAGGATTTCTTATTTCCTTTTGTTATTTTGGACTCATGACCATTCCTCCTGCAAATTTTGGTTAGTTAAAAATCTGTCTTAATATTAAATTCACCTCACCAAAACCTGTCCCATGAGATATAAAAATTTAATTAAAACCTTCTTATTGTTCAGTCATATCTGACCTGTAAATGGGGTTTTCTTGGCAAAGATAACTGGAGTGGTTTGCCATTTCTTTCTCCAGTGTGTGCCCATTTTATAGATGAGGAACTGAGACAAATAGGGATTTAGTAACTTGCCCAGGGTCACACAGCTAGTAAGTAACTGAGGCCAGATTTGAACTCACATCTTTTTTAAAATTAATTAATTAATTTTTAATTTTCAACATGCATTTCCATAAACTTTTGAGTTTTAAATCCCCCCCCCACTTCCCTCTCCAAGGCAGTGTGCAATCTGATATAGGTTGTACATATACATTCCTATTAAACATATTTTCACATTAGTCATGTTGTAAAGAAGAATTAGAACCAATAGGAAGAACCACAAGAAAGAAGAAACAAAACAAAACAGAAGAAAAAAAAGCAAATAGTATGCTTCAAAATGCACTCCAACTCTATAGTTCTGAACTCACATCTTGACTCCAGGCTGGCTGCTTTAGCCACTGAGCACCTAGTTAGCCACCTAGCCCTTAGAGCCTTAAATATTCCTTAAAAAGGAAGCCAGAGAAAGGTTCTCAACTGTCTCTGAGTCCTTGGACATGTAAATCCTCCTCTTTAATCAGCCTAATTTGTGAATCCTCTAAATGTAGTTTAATCTGTAACCTGACTTAGTTTACTTATAGAGTTTGGTGAGGTTTGTTTCCCTAGAGATATATGAAATTATGAATGCTTGACGAAGTTTGTTCAACTTTTATGACATTGAAGGAAGCATGGACTCTATCTTCTCTTTAACTTTTATGGCCTAAGAGGAATATACAAGATCACAATCTGTAAATGAATTATTTCTCTGTCCCTCTGACATAATTTTGCCAATAAGAAGCCTTGTCAGAATCCTAATGATTGTTTAGGTTTTCTCTGAGGCCTGAACCTGTGCTTGAGCATAATAATAAAACCCAGGTTTTTACCTCTATAATTTCTACTTTGTGGTAAATATAGATTTGGCATCGGTTAACCCACCACATGAACTCAGAGAGGAGGTATTTCTCCCATAACATCATTCCCTATTCTCGGACCGTCTTCTTACCCAACAGACTTTCCTCTCGGAGTACCCTGGATTTTCCTTCTCTCTCCCTTCTACCCTTCCTCAGTTCTGGAACCATGACCAAATCAATTTAGCCTTACCTCTTGGAAAGGGCATGGTAATCTAGTCCTCTAAGGCCCTACCCACCATCTCCATAACTTTACCGACCAAAGTACTCCTTCCTGGCCACCCTGCCCCCAAAATATTGTCTTTCTCTATTAGTCCCCATTAGAATGTAAGCTCCTTGAGGTCAGGGACTGTCTTTACTTTCGTCTTTTTACCCCTAAGCACTTGGGTGGTACAGTGGGTCAGTAGATGGAGAAGACCTGAGTTCAGATTTGGCCTCAGACACTTACTAGCTGTGTGAACCTGAGCAAGTCGTGTAACCCTATTTACCTCAGTTTCCTCATCTGTAAAGTGAGCTGAAGAAGGAAATGACAAACCACTCCAGTATCTGCCAAGAAAACCCCAAATAGGGTCATGAAGAATCAGACACAGCTGAAAAACAACAACTTATGAGCTGTGTAACCCTGGGCAAGTCACTTAACTTCTGCTTACCTTAATTTCCTCAGCTGTAAAATGGGGGTCATATTAGCACCTACCTCTGAGGATTATTGTGAAGATAAAATGAGATATTTGTAAAGTGCATGGCATAGTAGTAATGGGTGCTTGATAAACACTTGTCCTACTTCTCCCTCCCAGAGCTCCTCCAGCACCGCCCCCTCCCGGGAGGCTAGGTGGTGTGGTGGCTAGAGTTAAGGACTTGGGGTTCAGAAGTTTTAAATCCACCTTCAGACACTGATGAACCAGCTGTGTAACTGGGCAAGTCACTTAAGACTCAGTTTCCTCATCTGTAAAAATGGGGATAATGACAGCACCCACCTCACAAGGTTGTTGTGAGAATTAAATAATACCTAGCCTTTATCTGGAATTTTAAGGTTTACAAAGCACTTTACAAATATTATCCCATTTTATCCTCACAACAACCCCGGAAGGTAAGTGCTATTCTTATATCCATTTTACAGATTAGGAAACTTAGAGAAACACAAAGTATCTGGGTTACACAGCTAGTAAGTGTCTGAGGTAAATTTTGAATTCAGGTGTTAGCTATTGTACCACTTGGCAGCCTGATTTATACGTAAAGAAATTTGCAAATCTTAGGTGCTATATAATGTTATCTATTATTAATAAATGCTTTACCCCCCTCTCATTCAAAGAACTCACACTCCACTGGGAGGAATATATTCAATCCCATAGAGATAGGGACTAGATGTGTGATTTCATTGGTACAGAGAACTGGTGGACGAGGAAACTCCTTCTACAATAAAGGCTAGCCCCTTCTCTTCGATTTCCAGTTTTAAAGAGGTGCGTAGGGCACCTGTTCACAGTTCCACAGCCATATCTGAGGCAATACATAGATAAATAAATACCAGCTATTTGGAACCAGGAGAGAACACTATCAAATGTGTTGGTTTGGGGAGGGAGGTCTTCCCGTAGGAAGGAAGTGGCACATGAGTTGCTGTTCTCAGAAGCTAGAGATTTTAAAACTACCTCTATTTTTTAGAGGTTTGGAGAGTAAATTCCAGGCATGGGGTGGGGGTGGGGGTGGGGGGAGACAGCCCGTAAAAAGACCGAAGAGATGGGAAATGGGATGTCATGCTGGGGGACAGGAAGCAGCCGATTTGACTGGAACCTAAGAGTACATGAGAGGAAATAACATGTAATAAACCTGGAAAGGTAAACTGAAACCAGGGTGTGAAGGGCTATGAATATCAAATAATGGAATCTGTATTTTGTTGGAGAAGCAATTCCTTCTTAAATAGGGAAGTAATGTGGTCTGACCTGTGTTTTAGGGTGGTTATTTTGACCTCTTTGTGGAGGATGGATTATAGTGGTGAGAAACTGGAGTCAGGGAGAAAAATTAACCAAAGAGATAATTCAGTAGAAAAATTATGAGGATCTAGACTAGAGGTGGTATATGCAAATGGACAAAAGGGACTGGTTGGAGAGATGTTTTGGAGGTGGGATCAACAAGAATCCACAATTGATAAGGTTTGGACCAGGGGCTTGCTGGTCACTGTCACTGATTTTAACAATCAGTTCTCTAAATCTGGGACCCACCTTTAAGGCTAATCTGCCTTATTACCATTTTCTCCTTTGCTTTCTCAAGTCCTGATATGTAATGTTTGCCAATTTCTAATGTGTAGATGCTCAGATGCTTACTAGCTGTGTGACCCTGGGCAAGTCACTTAATCCTGTTTGCTTCAGTTTCCTCACCTGTAAAATGAGCTGAAGAAGGAAATGGCAAACCACTCCAGTATCATTGCCAAGAAAACCCCAAATGGGGTCAGGAAGAGTAGGACACAATTGAAACAACTGAACAACAACAAATGTTGACATTGAAAATTTAACAGTCAATTCTCTCCAGAGCCAGTTAGAGCTGGCTCCAGGACACCCTTGGTATGGAGATTGCAGGAGAGAGAATTGAATGACTTCAATATTCTGACCCTGGTTGACTGGAAG